ATACTTTCAAATTCCAATATGGCTCACTGTGTTTTGGTGCCTTTCCCATCATCTGTCACTTCACAAGATTAACCTGGCTGTCAAAGACCAGCTCCAAAACATAACATAGACATAGTCTTCTCATTTTGCCTTTGAATGAGATAAAATCTTTACAAAAGGATGTGGGATATAAGTTTGTGTTGAATTGAACAAAACTCCTCCCCCTTTTCCAGTTTAGGAGACACCATCAATTTTCTCGTTTTCTAGAAAGAAGAAACCCTACCTTGCCTTGGATAGCTTCTTTAGAAATGTCAGCGTGGGGAGAGGGGACAATAAAAATTAATTTTTGGCTCACAAAAACAAAACAAACACACAAAATCATAAAGCCTGTGTTTTCTAAAGCAACCGCTGTGCGCAGGATCCTTCAAATAGTGAGTGATATTCTGCGAATTAAAGATTATTTCTCAGAATGAGTCCCAGAAGAATGTGGGCCTACAGGTTAGTCGACCATCAGGAAGTTGGCTCTTTCTGCACATTGTTTAGCAGCCAAAAAGGATACCAGGCTGCAGAGAAAGCGGCCAAAACACATTCCTTTTATGGTGTGATAACAGTTTGTGTAAGAAACTGCCTTCTTTTCAAGCCATGTCTCAGAACCCAGTCCCAACAGGCAGGGACAGATAGGAGCTTCTCATGCACAAGCCAGACCTAGCTGGGCCAGTTTCCCCCACAGAAAGCAAAAACCTTACCAAAGTTCTGTAACGAACTTTCATTTTTTGGCAGTCCCTATCTCGGAACTTCTCTGAGATGAGACTTTGAAACCAAGGTCCCTATTTTAGATTCACAACATGCCAATGGTTGCCAAGAGTTTTGCTACTCTGGGTCATGTTATTGTCCTAAGGTATATTTTCTTTATGAGACTCATCAACAAAAACCTTTCCAACACCTTAAAATAGATTTTAAACTTTGTGAGGCTTTCCTGTGGGTTTCAGGTTCAAAGTGTTTGTTCCTCTATAGGAACCAGTCTTGCTTAATCATTTTTATTGCTCTTGGCTATGTTTCTTGGATCAAGATACTTTATAACAGGAAGAGACACAGTGGCACATATACTAAACTAACATAACTTTTTGTTGTGAATACCAAGAAGCAAAGATTAAAAGCGTACATCCTTTAAACACATGCTACTTAAACAGCAATAAATCAATATTTTCCACAAATAGAACATTTCCATTATGTGAGAAAATGTGGAAAACAAGTGATTTTAACGGCATTTCATGATGAAGATTGTTTTTAAGTTGCAAATTAAACCCATCTCTAGCTTAAGACATGGATAAAGCTGTTGGCACCAAGCAACCATTTGATATTTACAGATGACATTTCTGAGACAGCAAGTCAGCCAAGATTGAGCAAGCAGTGACATCCCCATTCCTCATTTTCATCATCATCACCATCATCACCATCACCATCAAATATTTATGGCTGTTTGCTAGAATACAAGATATCTCAGAGGGTATAATCAACTTCAAATGTTTCCTATAAATTCAAAAATCTTTCTATGCATCACTCCTACCTTGGAATGTTCAAACTTAGTAGTTTCTACATGTGATTTTTTGGGTGAAAAGAAATTTTAAGTTCAGCAGACTGGGGTTGTAGAGGTAGCTCCAGTGGTAGAGTGCTTTGCATGCAAGATGTCCTGGGTTTCAGTTTAGGACCACAAAAAAACAGACCCAGTACACATACAGAAACACTGTGGAAATTGGAAAAGCAGCCTCTGCACTATTTTATCTAAAAAAAAATCTTTCTTCCTAATTAATAGAACTAAGAGGGAAAACCTTCAGTTCTATAGAAAATGTTTCAAGCTACTTATAGAATTGGATCAGTTGGCCTATTTGTTAAAGGTCTTTTAGGATGTGCTTTCTTTGATATAATCTTCCTTACAAGTGTGGATTCAAAAATAATTTATGTTACTTCTTTAATGTTTTTGCCATTTATACTGACTTCTACAATATAACTAAATTAACAACAATGTGAGGTCTTGATTATATACTTTGATCATGAATATAAGCTTCTTTCTTTGCCATATATAACAATTATGAGACAAAAATGAATTAAAGACAACTCAGTAGCTCCTCCACAGTGTGGCTGCAGCATCCCGAGTCTCTGTTTCCTCTTCAAGCAAAAGGATGGGCAGCCTGTCCCCAAAGACCAAAAGTTAACCAAGTCCACCACACCCTACACCATGTCCAAGAAGAAATACATTTCGGTCCATTAATATTCATGAAGGGCACAGGAGATCACAATGACCAACTCTAATTGTCATGAAGCAGGCTTATGTCACTATCACACACAAGTACCAAGTTATTCTGCACTCCTCCTGGGTACCAGATTGGGGACAGCTGGGATGGGAGCAGGGAGGGTGACAGTGTAAGGATCAGAAGAACTCACAGACAATATCATCATGTGGAAGATATTACTGAACATCTTAGACTTAACAATTTAATCAGATGCTACCAGTATTGCCTAGATACTAATACATATTTGCAAGTAAAGAGATGTGACAGTTACCTCCTATTTCAGAAATCACAAATAAATCTTTCAGGCAGGAGTTCTACTGCATTCTACCTCAAATCACTCCCAAAGTGAGAAATAACTCAATTTTAAGGTCCAATTCCTAGAGAAAAAAATGACTCAACTAAATGCAGTAGTCAAACAGGAATTAAAACACATGTAAATCAATAACACAAAATGACAATATCCGTGATTCCTTTAAAGCTTGCCCTTATTACTATTTTAGCTTTACAGGTTTATTTTAGCTTTACAGGTTTATTTTACAGGCAGTAAATTTTATAGGAGATATCAAAAATAATTAGCATCTTGCTTTTAAAAAGTTCAGAAGCTATCCATGTATTTTTTCATATCCCTTACACAATCTTTTTAGGATGTAATAGAGAGACTTTTATTTTTTTTTCTCCAAGTAGTCATCAAATTCCTTCAAAGAACAGATCCAACACAAGAGAACAGGCCTTATATATGGTCTCATTAGAAGTAGGAAATGTGAAGAAAGAAAAGCAGAACAAAACCATAAATTGTCAAAACAAATAGGAAAAGAAAGAAGTAAACATGAAATTAAATAATTAAGACAAATAAAATTTAAAGAGTTGGATGTGGAATTGTCCCTTTATTTCTTTCTCTTTTCCATTACCTACAGATTTATCATAAAACTCTGTTTCTAATGCACTACATAGTTTTCTTAGGCATCGTCAATTGACTCCTCTGTCAATGTTTCCACAGCTCTTCTCTGGCCTTTTCTAAATAATTCTGAGATCCATACTCCAATATAGTCTTTCTATCAATCTGAAGACAGCAATAATCTTCTACTCTCAACTAGGTGCAACATGAAAATTATCAGTAAAAGAAACAAACTTTTATCATGTCTTAAAATCACAATAAGTTTAGATTATCTTGTGTCTAGAATTTTATAGTCTGTGTCACTCTAGAAAAAAAATGTCATCTATCCACCAAGACTTCTCAATGCATATGGACTTAATATAACAATGCAAGGTTAAGTCTATTACATGGGCTTCTAGGAGTAAAAATGCAGGTTGAGAGGGCGTGTAAACAGACCAACTGCAATGTGCTTTTGAAATGGTTCCCCTCTATGAGTTGGGATTACAGGACCAAAGGTCTTAGGGAGACCCTGAACCAAAATCTACAGACACCACTATGCTGGCTTCACCGGGCAATTCCAAGATAACTAACGTCCTGCTGAGGCAGAAATTGCAAGAAAACTCATATGATCAGATAAATTAGAAATCTACAGAAGCAAAGATTAGATAAGACTCCAAATTATAAATTACATCCAATAAACTTCATCTCCAATAACTTACTTCTTATTTACCAAAATTAGGATAATTCATAAACATGTCTAGAACTTTTTTCAACTCTGGCAAAAAAAAACCATGCACTTTTATGGAAAATGCAACAGAAACCCATTTTTTGACTGCAACGAAAGCAGGAGAAGATCCATGATTCAGTAACTAAAATAAAAAGCAAACCAAGCCAAATGAAAAACCATTGGCATTATTATCTATTATAAAATGACTACTATACCTGGTTCACTGGGAATTTTGAACTTTAAAGTAGATTTGTTACACAGCACAAGCAAGGCTAACAGGTGCTATCCTTTAAACACCAAGATGATACAACTGACATGAGAAAGGCTACACTCGGGCTGGAACCTGAGAACTTAACCTTATCTTTATAAGGGAGAGAGAGATGGAAAAAAAAAAATCCTTTCCTCCCTCTCCTGAAATCCCAAATGTAAAGCAAGAACTTAGGAGAAAAGGAGCCAGAATCTGATCAGAACATCCAACTGCAAAGTGTAAAACTAAAGCCTTAAAATAACTGATTTTCCTAACTTCAGAGGCATTAACATGATTTACTGTGTTCTGCATAATTAGTAAGTCAACACGGACTACCAAACCATTCTCAGCAAACACTGACCTAACTGATGTCTACAGACATCAAACCTTATATCTGGCTACAGTAGCTCAGTACTCCTCCTCAACTTTTTTCAAGTGAACAGGCTCAATCATTACTAAGCATTATAGGACAATGGTACCAAGAGCCCCCAAAGACCAATAAAGCCTTTTTTTTTTCTTGCCCCTGATTTGTCTCAACTCTCAAATTATTTTTCATTTCCTTTACCCTTCATTCTCCAAAATCTACACGAATGGATGAAGACAATATACCTATCAACCTGAAAAGCATCAATCGGACAAATAGTATAAATTATGTTACATGATTCTTAAAAAAACAAAGAAAAGGTGTCATATTGACATTTGTCAGGGAAGTCTAGCATCAAGAACAAAATTAAAGTCCCTACCAATTTATTACAGAAGATATTTCTTTAATGATCTTTGTGTGATTTACTTCAAAGAGTGATACGGGTTGTAAGGAGGAAAAACACAAAAGAAATGAAAGCATGATTATGTTGTATTCGTCACTGAATTTAATTAACCTACCTCAAGTTTAAGTAGGTCAGCATCTGCAGATTAATGATGGCCTCAGGAATGACTCTGATACAATTGTGATACAGATTAAGAATTTCCAGTGATACAAAATGGCACAATTCCATTGGAACTTCAACCAGTCTGTTTTTAGATAAATCTGTGAGAAAAGGACAGAATATTTGGTCAATTAATCTTCAACATATATATATATATATACTCTTCAATATACTCTTATCAACGAATAATACTATTTCTCTTAACATTATAATGTAAATTTAGATCAACATCATCATGTTTCACACCTGTGTGGTACTGTAATGTGTATTTTCTAGCCAAATTCAAACACACAGTATATGGAAGAGCAAAAGTACTGCTAAAACGTTTTAGCTTTCTCAATTAATTTGCAAAACCAAGCACATAAAGATGGGGGAACTTTTTAACTCTATCTAAAATCTGTCTCAAATTCTTTCTACCCTAGTAGAGGATACATAACTGTACCCTTTAATACTTCTGAATACATATCTTTACCATAATTTTGTTTTTTAAGATGGGATCTTGCTGTGCTGCCCAAACTTCAGCAATTCTCTTTTTTGGTCCCCCAAGTAGCTGAACTATAATTATTAATTCAGTATATCAACTCCTCTATATGCAAGGAACATGTCTCTAAGGTAATCTGAAAATGAACACATATCAGACACTAAATATTTATTCACTGGAATTACTGAGTACCTATCCTGTCCAAGGCTGAGATAAACCAATCATGTGTCTATCAAGAATCAACACTGTGACTAAGGTTGTGGTAGAGCGCTTGCCTAGCACGTGTGAGGCCTTAGGTTCAATTCTCAGCACCACATAAAAATAAATAAAAGTATTGTGCCTAACTACAACTAAAAATTATTTTTTTTTAAAAAAAGAGTCAACACTATGTCTGTGGCATGACCACCAGGAAAATAGGAGTCCACTAGCCAAGTGTATAAGGATGATCTGCAGAACAAGGTGAACAAACAGTGTGGTTTATAGCATCACCACCCCAACAATAGAACAATGGAAGAGTCTCGAATCCACATCTGGACATGGTAGATGTCAAGTACCCCAGGGAAAGAACCACCACTTTTGAAAACAGTAACTCAACAATTAAAGAGCACCTTTTCCTGTCCTGTATTAAGAGGGTCTCAACAATATTAATGAAAGATGTTCAGTAAGTAACAGGGATCATATACTTAAGTAACTACATCCTGACTAATGGGGAGGAGACACATCAAAAACTCAAACAGGGGCTGGGATTGTGACTTAGCGGTAGAGCGCTGGCCTAGCACATGTGAGGCCAAATAATTATCATTATTTGGGTTCTAGCCTCAGCACTACATAAAAATAAATAAATAAAATAAAGATAGTGTGTCCAACTACAACTAAAAAATAAACTTAAAAATTTTTAAATTAAAAAGAAAAAACTTAAACCGGTTAATACCACAGATAAAACAAGTCAAAGATCTCCCTTTTCGGATCATCCTTCCATAAACAAATGCACAAATAAACAGAAATAGGACTAAATGGATTCACAGGGGAAAATGTAAAAAACTTTGAAGGAATGATTCTGGTAATATTTAACCTATTCCAAACCATATAAAAAAGAAGGAAAGTTTCCAAATTTATATCTAAAAGGTGAGTTATCATATTGATACTATCATCCAACAAAGAAGGCACACAAAAGGGAAACTGCATTCCAATCTCTCCTTTAAATACTGAAATAATTCCTGAATTTAAAAAATTAACAAATTGGGCTAGGGTTGTGGCTCAGTGGTAGAGCACTTGCCTAGCATGTGTAAGGTACTGGGCTCAATTCTCAGCACTGCCTACAAATAAATAAAGATCCATTAACTACTGAATATTTTTTTAAAATTAGCAAACATATTTGAACAGCATATAAAAATATCAATATACTATGAAAAAGTGGACTTTACTCTTGGAATGTAAGAATCATATTAAAACAATTCACCATATAAATGGAACAAAAATAAAATAGCATATGATTGTCTCCATGGATACATATAAGGCATTTGATAAAGTACTATGTTCATTCTTTCTTTCTTATTAAAATATATTTTATATATCAAAAATTTAATCATTCGCAGCTTTTAAAATTCAGTAATCTCTGGTACTTTTACTGAATGATGCATTTATCACCTTGTATCAGTTTTAGAACATTTATACTCAATTGCTTAAAAAAGGAGAACAGTTGGCTATTTCTTTTACACACACTCACACACATACATAAATGACAGAGAGAATACTTTAAATTACTTTAAATCGTAAAAGACTAGCAATGTTACTGTAAAGTCAAGATAAGACTTCATTACTACTCTTACTACTAATTTGTGTTATCATTTAAATAGCACTAGTCAAAGACATGAGATGAAGAAAAAAAAGAAAAACCAAAATTGGAATGGAGAATACAGAATTATTATTATTTGCAGATAATATGACTGTTTTCTTGGAAAAATGCAAGAGCACCAAGAGAAAAACCTACTATAAATGATATAAGAATTTTATAAAGATACACAGGAGAAAATTAATGTGCTGAAACAATAGTCTTTACATACACCAACTAGATAATAGCTAAAGGGGCTGAGGTTGTGGCTCAGTGGTAGATGCTTGCTTAGGATAGGTGAGGCCCTGAGTTCGATCCTCAGTACCACACATAAATAAATACAATAAAGGTATTGTGTCCACCTCCAACTAAAAAAAATATTAAAATTTTTTTAAAAAAAGATAATAGAGGATAAAATACTTAGAAAATCATAAGAAATGGGCAAAAGTTATTTGAATGAAACTTTAATATGCAACTCAAAAGTCAAGCCAACTAAAAAGAGACTCCATGTTTTTAAATACAACTAAAAAAAAAGACTCAGCATCAAAAACATGTCAAGTTCTGTAGCTTAATGTCCTATAGTTGTATGGATATGCAGTCAATTTTTTTTTAAAGTAAATTGTTGTGCTGTTAAAATTCTATGTACAAAGTCCCAAATGTCTTTAAAAAATAAAAGTAAAAAAAAATGTGCCAAGTTATCTTTAAATTATGTCTATATAATTTAATGCACTCCTAATTTTATTTTTTTAATTTTAAAGAGAGAG